GCGGGGGGGGGGGCCCCCCCCCCCGCGGCGGTGGGCCCCCCGGTCCCCGCCCGGGGGGGCCGCCTGCCTCTTTAGGGCTGGCCGGACACTGCGAAGGGGGCCTCGCCGCCCCAGCCTTGGCCTGAGAAGCACCGGTCCTGGCTGCATCCAGCCCGCGGCTCCCGTCCGGTGCTCCGCTGCCATCCTGGAACGTCCGAGGGGCAGTGCTGCCACCAGTGCCCCCACGGTCCCTCAACGGTGAGTTGGCCACATGCTGGGAGGGCCAGGAACGCTGCTGCTGCTGCTGCAGGACGGACAGCCCTCTGCCAGCCCTCTCCCCCTTCTGGGGCGTAGCCGGCGGGTTGGGGGTCCCGGAGCTGAACTTGCGAGCGCGCTCCCGGACGGAGCCGGCTCTCCTGAAGGGCTGCTCCTGGCAAGGATCTGCAGAGGGAGGGCAGGCGAGAGAGGAGGGAGGGGGCTGTCAGTGGGGGGGATGACCCAGCTTGGGAACGGAGAGTGGTTTATCTCAAGCAGCCGGGCGCGCTGCCAGGCCTGGGAAAGTTTCAGCTGCAGGAAAGCCAGGCGGTCAGGGCTTTTCTCTCCTTCCCTCCCGGATACGGCCAGAAAATTTCCCTTCTCTCCAAAAAAAGAAAAGAAAGGACGCATCCAGAGCAAAAGTCAGCCTCTCTTTTCTCCTGGTTTTCGGCCTTTCTGGGAAAGGCAGACCCCGATCTGGGAGGGCAGGGGGGCTCCCCACTTAAACACCCCAGGCAAGTTAAGGAGCAGGGGGGCTTCCTGCTGTCCATCCCGGATGCCGCAGCACGGCCCCACGGGTTGGATCCAGCCACACGTTCAGCCGTTTCCCAAACACAGAAGCACCAGCTAACCAGGCAGGCCGGGTGTCCCAACGCCACATCTGGGTGTCCTCCCAGGGCCTAACCCTTTTCTTGGTTTGGCCAGATGGGCAAGCGGGGGTCTGCCTGGCAGGCTGCAGCCTGAAACAGACAATGCCCATCTGGGAAAGAGAGAATGAAGAGAGGCTCAGAGAGAATAAAGAGGGAATACAGGGAGTCTCACCTGCGCCGGGCTTTGGAGACGGGGCAGGCCCGGTGGCTTTGCAGCCGTCAGCCACGGCAGGTCGGGAGGCTCCGCGCAGGGCAGTTGCTGGGCAGGCTACAATGGGGAAATAAAGCCACGTTAGAGAGGAGGGGGATTCAGCCCTCCCACTTGCAAAAGACACAGGTGAGGCTCAACGACTGTGACCAGATCCCAGACCCCGGATCCCCCCTTTCTCTCTCGAGACCCCACTTCGAGACCCCAGAATGCCTCACAACTCCGAGAGGAACCCGCACAATAACCCTGCCGGGCGGGCCAGCACTGTTATCCCCAGATGGAAAAAGCGAGCTGGGAAGGAAAGGGGGAGGCTTCCTTGGCTCAGGTCTGGCCTCTTTCCGAACTCCTCCAGCTTTGATGATCCTGCAGCAGTAGATTCCTGCCAAGGACAGGGGTTGGACTAGGTGATCTTCAGGTCCCCCAACCCATCCCTCTTTGGAACGACGCTGAAATGGCACCAGAGCAGACACTGCCCACTCTGCGTTTCAGTCCTGAAGAAGACAAGGGCGTGCCCCTTCCTCCGTCGCCCCGCTCTGCTCCTGACCTCTGGAATGAGAAGCTCCGTTGGGCCCCCTTCAGTGGGGTTCAGCGTGGCAGGGCAAGGCTGCCCTTTCGGCCTAGCGCCCTAAACTACAAGGCTCTCCGCCAGCCTGCCTCTTCAGGTGGCCTCATCCTGCTACCAACTGCTGAGGTACCGGTCGCTCAAAAGACCTCATTTGCCTTCACTTGCCGTCGGTTTATCATACCCATATCACAGATGGGAAAGCTGAAGCCGAGAGAAAACAGATTTGTGCATCTCACGAAGCCATGGCAACTGAAAAGCAACACCATGGACAAAGCTGGGGAAATGTCAACATTAACGGCCACAAGGTGGGGGGCAGCGAAGCCCCACCAGGGAGGTCCTTCCGTCTGCCGCTGCAAGGGGTCTGCCTCAGGCCCCCATCCGCAGGAGCAGGCAAAGCACGGCTTCGGTCAGACAGAGCAACGGCCTCCCAGAATTCTCAAGGAACGGCTGCGCTGGCTGGGGAATTCTGGGACTTGAATCCCCTCTACCGGCAGATGCCCGGACCAGGCAAAGCTGTTTCAAGCCGTCATTAAAGGCAGCCGCTGCCTCCCCCCAACACACGGCCAAGGAACCCCCCCCCCCATTTCACAGCCTGACCTGGCAGCCCTCCCATTTCAAGACTGCTGCAGGACAACACCTCCCCTGTGCCAGTCGCAGCAGGCCACAAGGGGCGCTCCCACTGACCTCAGCTGAGCCCAGGGGCACCGGCTGGCATCCGGCACGGCTTCGGCCCTCGCGTGCCCCCTCCGTTCGAGGCCCATGTCGCAGCGGTGAGAAAGACCGTCTGCGTCAGGACCTCCCCAGAAGTGCGCAGAGCCCTGCTGTGGCTAATCCCGGCCGCCGCTTCCAAGAGGGGTCAGCCAAGAGTTGCCTCCAAGAAGTTCAGAAACAGGGTCCCGGGCAGGAGCCACGCCCCCGCCAAAGCGCTCGGGCGAACGCAGGGAAGCTTTTCTCCCAGACCAGAAAAGAGCCCGGTGCAACGAGAAGTGGGGCGAGGAGTGGCCATCAGCTCTAGCCAGCGAGCCAAGGTCTAAAACGGTCTGGCGCAATGGATGGAGAGGGGGAGAAAAGAATCGGTCCCCTTGGAAGACTCTGCGCAACGCCTGAAGCTCAGTTTACCCTCAGCTGAACTGCTCTAAGGATAAAGAGGGGGGCTGCAGGACGACCTCACCCCCCCATTAGATCACCAAGAAAGGGAAAGGGGAACCCACAAGGCATCCAGGACTCTCGCTGCAAACAACAAAACCAAAACTTTGCACAGTTTCTCCATCGCTAAACATAAAAACTCCCCAGCTGTCAATGGGGGGAGTGGAGCAAAAGATGAAGGCCAGCCGCAGCTGTTCAGGATCCACTGCGGCTGAATTTGGGGGCCAGGAAGCGCCAGAAGGACAGTAACACCCTCTCTGCCAAATCTTCTGCCTGGACCAGCCCGTCTCTTTCCTCTTTCCCACTGGGAGACACAGACACCCAGGAAAGGAGCCCCGGGTAAAGATGGCAGCAGCAGAAGGTGGCAGTGCCATCAAGGCTCTGGAGGGGAGGACAGAGGATGGTGCAAACAGAGTGCACGTGGGTGTGCAACAGAGGGAAGGGAAGGGAAGGGAAGGGAAGGGAAGAAAGGAAAGGAAAGGAAAGGAAAGGAAAGGAAAGGAAAGG